AATGCTCCTGCTACTTTTCAGAGGTGTATGTCGTCCATTTTCACTAACATGCTCGAGAAACATATGGAAGTGTTTGTTGAGTGAAAATATGGACACAAAGAGGTCTAGAAGGGGGGTTGAATAAACCCTTTCCCTTTAAGACATTTTCAAAAATATTTTAGGTCCCATATACGAAATCGGAGATTTTAAGAAGCGCGAAAACAAACACAAATAAGAGAACTTAGAAGCATCTCAATAAATTAAACCAAATGAAATAATATATAATGTTACTGAGTACTTTTTTGTTTCTAATACAAGTTAATTACAGGACAACCAAAGTCGCTTTAAACAAAGCGATTTAAAAACTATTTACATAGATGTTTTATCTGGACATAATTGGATTCATGATGATTCAATAAGATTGATACACCACCTAACTAAACTTATACATTAAATCTCTATAAGCAAGATTTATCTTATATGAAATATAATTAATACAATAATGCACTCAACGTAATAGAAAAATTAATGAATACTAGAAAGTTTAAAGAGATAAGAGAAGAAGAAAAGATACACAAAAATATATAATGGTTTGACATTTGTCCTCGTTTTGTTTATTCCACTCTTTAATGGTGTTAAAAACCATTAAAAAATAATCACGATCTTTTACTATTTTTATAAGTTTTGATACAAGTATATTTGTTATAATTTTTTAGAACTCAAGACTAGCATAGTCATTTGGGGAAAAATTGGGTGTTGGATAGGAGTGAATGTAGTAGGGGATAATTTTGAAGTGAAAAATAATGTCAGGAACAGTTTGTACAATCATGCAATTTGTTTGAAGAATTCTGTTTATGTTGGTTCAGCAGGTGTGGTGTGGTTAGCTACAGTTTGGAGCATCTGATTATCAAGAAATAACATTTTATTTCAGGGGAAAGTGTGCAACGTAGAGGACATTATTTTATCAATCAAAGTTTTATCCTAGGTTTGGTTGACTATAGCGAATTCTAGTAACTTTAGTTTCTATGATTAGTTCACCTCTCCAATTGATTGTTATTGGATAAGGTAATCTGTATTTTGGTGGATTGTTTGGTTCTTATTGTTTTGTTGGGTTTCGAATATGTTCGGTTCTTATTGTTTTGTTGGGTTTCGAATATGTTCGGTTCTTATTGTTTTGTTGGGTTTCGAATAAGTTTTTTATTTTTGTTTAAAAATGACTTTTATGATTTTCTAAAAATACTATAAAATATTAATTTATTTTTTATAAATTAAAAATTAGTTTTGACATTCATTAAGATGTGTATGGATTATTAAAAATAAATATATATTTAATATTATATTGATTTTTAAAATAATATCTCTTAAAAATATTTTTTATGAAAAATTAATCAATTAGTTTCAAATTTAAGTGATTTTTTTTTGAAATTTTGTAATTAAAAAATAAGGGGAGATCGACACTTAGTCAGTAGATATTTTGGTGTACGGATGAGTAGGAGGGAGATATGTTTGTGTGAATTTGTCTGGAGTTTCTCCACTAGTAGGATTAAGGATCGGTGGTTTTACCGTAGGACACACAACTCTCAAGTAAAAAGGTTAAACATGAGAAAACGTGTTCTGACAATCAATATATTTTTATATTATTTGTCTTTGACACATTTAGTTTTCTAGTACCAGAAGCAAGAAGTAGTTGATCTTTTATAGAAAATTTAAAGACTTGTGAATAACAATTTTATATATCTTAGGTCTATGAATGTAATTTTTAAAAAGATTAATTTTGACATCCAAAAAAGAACGGCGGCACAGCTTCTTACGTTTGTCTTCTATTTCTATATAAACTTTATTATATTTATTAATTAATGTATATTTTTTATTAAAAAATTATTGTTATCTAAAATAATATATTTATAAAAAATTATTCAAATTAAATTTTTATTTTAAATTTTTTTTAGAAAATTAGTAACTTCTTTTTAAACAATATATATATATATATATATATATATATATATATATATATATATATATATATATATATATATATATATATATATATATATATATATATATATATATATATATATATATATATATATATATATATATATATATATATATATATATATATATATATATATATATATATATATATATATATATATCACAAACATTATTAAAAAAGAACTAAAATAAATGAGCCCTTAATATTAATATTATGGTTAGGAAAATAAAATTCTTAAATGATCCTATTTTATTATTTTATGTCAAGTAGATAGAAAATGGTAATATAGCCCAACCATATGGTGACATAACTCTGAATTTAAATATAACAATTAGAGACTTGCTGTAACTGAGACGAAAATTTGAGATTACAATATGCTCTAACAATATTTAAGCACTCACATAATGTCTGGTGTTTATAATATGCTCAATAATTGAGACTAAAATATGCACTAATAATTGAGACATATAACCATAATTTGGTACGTAATTACTTCAATTTAAAATGTCCTGCTTCTAAAAATTACATTTTATATATTTAATTCCTCATTTGTCAACAAATTACACCGTTTTTTTCTTATAAAAATGAGTGAATAGCGCATTAGAAACACAGCAAAATATTAATAGCTCAAAGCAAGGTAACTCATCGAATCATCAATGTCAAAACAAAGGTATGGTACTATCTTTAACATATGGCTCTCTATATTTCCAAAACCATCTCTCTATCTAATAGTTTATTCTATTTTGTTGTTATTCTGATTAACATGCATAGGTTGGAGGGTAAGGTTGCTATAGTGACAGGAGGTGCAAGCGGAATAGGAGAAGAAGCAGTGAAGACATTTGTCGAAAACGGAGCATTCGTAGTTATTGCAGATATCAACGACGAATTAGGTCACCATCTCGCAACTTCAACTGGCTTAGACAAAGTGAGTTACCACCACTGTGATGTGAGAGATGAAAAACAAGTTGAACAAACTGTGTCTTTCACCTTAGAGAAATACGGAACCCTAGACATCATGTTCAGCAACGCTGGAATTCCAGGTCCTATGTCTAGCATACTAGAATTTGATTTGAATGAATTTGACAACACCATGTCTGTGAATATTCGAGGTGTGGCTGCAACCATCAAGCATGCTGCACGTGTCATGGTGGATAGAAAAATCCGAGGATCGATAATATGTACTGCTAGTATGGCTGCGACGGTTGCTGGTGGTGGTGGACATGATTATGTTACATCCAAACATGGTCTAATAGGACTTGTACGTTCAACATGCAGTGAGCTTGGAGCTTATGGGATAAGAGTGAATGCTATTTCACCTTATTTAGTTGCAACACCTCTTGTATGTAGGACACTTGGTAAGAAACAAGGTGAAGTTGAAGCTGATGGAAATGATATTGGTAATTTGAAAGGAGTTACATTGAAGGGTAAGCATATTGCAGAAGCTGCTTTGTTTCTTGCTTCTGATGAATCTGCTTATGTTAGTGGACACAACTTGGTGGTTGATGGTGGATACTCTGTCATCAATACTTCTTTTACTAGTATTATTGAAAAATAGATTTAATATTTTTTTTTTTGTAACTTTCTTCATTTCTTTTTTTTAACTTACTTCCTACAATTATGGAGAAGCAATTATTCCCCCGCCTTTGAGTGAGTCTAGGCACGCCACGCACCCCTTCAATTGAATCAATAGGGAACGTGATCGAGTTGGGGCGGTTAGTCCCAGACTCAACCCAAGGACTAGCTTTTCAGCGCCCAGAGTGCGCATTTGTGTGCACGACTTGTTACACGTTTGTTAGATGAGTAACTCATATGAATACAATTGCTTAGGTATGTGTTACTTGAGCTATTTCTCCCATAGTCCAGTAAAATTATCTCATTCCACAATCCCTCTGCTACGAGATCTTAGAAAGAGCGAAATGATTAACAAAATGGCTTCAGCCTTTATCATGGGGCCCTTGAAAATTATTCGGCCAAATGCTTAGGATGGTCCACCAAAACAGGATCGAGTGAGTCCCTCAAGCAAGGTTTGAGGTGAGCCCCTCAAATAAAACATAGGGTGAATCCCTCAATTGATACTTGGGACGAGTCCGTCAAACGAATATTTGATCATACTTTCTAAATATATTTAACCATACAATATACCAGATCTTACCGGATCAGAGATGGACCGTCACAGCTGGCTCGGGCAGAAGTTGAATGAGATGGGGGCTGGTTCATGATTTGCTTCGTACAGTGGTCGAAGAGTGTTCGAGGAATACTCGCGGGAAGAGGATGATACACTAGTCAGACACGTGGCGTGGCTCTTGGAAACCACAATGTTGGCCTAGGGAGTAGGGGTCATCATTGTCTATGCGAGTAGGTGTCGAGGAGAAGGGTGGTTTGTGATTTCCCGATGCGACATTTCACATTCCACGTCAACTCTATAAATAGGGCTTCAGGGCCCATAACTTGTTTTCACATTTTCGCGCTCCCACATTTTCTCTGCCGTCAACACCGCGTGTTTTCCCAGTGTCATTGAGACCATCGCACAGTCCGCCGTGTACTTATCTCAACAACTGTCGCTCCTCATCTTTCTTCCAAGTAAGCGTTCTTTTTCTTTGATATCTTGTGTTGTAGATAGATTTGATGGTGTTTAGTGGTAGGATTTCATGTCTGGGGATTATGCCCGAATTTAAGCGTTTTAGGCGTCTGATTTGTGACCATGCCCGTGGCGTTCATACGTTTAGGCATACAATTTATGATCATGCCCGTGATATTCTTGCGTTTAGCTAACAAATTTAAGAACTTGGTCGTGAGATTCACCCTTTCGTTAGTATATAGGCTAGTTTTCCCCGTGGCATTCTTGTATCTGGCTAGCAATGTTATGAACTTGGTCGTGAAATTCATCCTTTGCTCGCGATATTCTTACTGTGCCCGCGATATTTATGACTGATATAGATGTCCATCGTTAAGATCGTTGTTCGATCGAGGTCCACGTGTTCCCCCTCTTTCGTGCGAATGGTCGTCGACTTGGTCTGAGTGTCGCTTACTTCTCCCCGTCTGTGTCGCGGAAAAGCGGATTTGCTGTCGAATTCACCGGTTTCATATACTTTGCAGGTAAATGGCTGATATTCCCAAGTCCTCGGAGCACATTGACACCGAGGAAAGCATTAATCTGGTCGACGCTGTTGACGACCCTACTCTGGACTGGGTCGGTGCGGAACCCCGAGGGATAGCTTCGATTTATAGCTATACCTACAGGCAAGCTTATATTGTCGTCGAGTACGGCGGAGGCCAGGAGGGGTTTCAGAGAAATTTTAAGATCATGAGGCCGACACGGGACGCACGCATTTGCTCGGAATTTACTCAGAACACCTTCCCTATGTACGAGATCGTATTTAAAGATCTCAGACTCCGTCTTCCTTTCAACGACTTCCAGATGGGAGTGTTTAATCACTTGAACTTGGCTCCCTCCCAGATTCATCCCAACGTGATTGCCTTTATCCGGGCATTCGAACTTATATGTTGTTTCCTGAGGACCGAGGCAACGATTCCCTTGTTCTTTAGGGTTTTTCACCTGCAACGGAAATCCCGAGGAGGGAATCATAGCTGGGTGTCCCTTAAGCAGTCGAAAAGGCTGTTTAGGATGTACATGGATTCTGTTCAGGATTTCAAGGGTAAGTGGTATATTTTGCATCCATCTACCCAGACAGCCGTGGATTCACTATTCGAACCGGCTTCCGTGGTGGACGAGGACGGGGAGCCGTGTTTGGACTCTGAGGGTAATCCCGAGATTGGGAAAGTTTCAAAGTTTCCCATCCACTGGTGTTCGGGCCATTACGACCATGGACCTGGATATTACCATACTTCCGCTGGCGGCATGAGCGCCGAGGACGAGAAGGCTTATGGTGTCCTGAATAAATTTGTTAACGGTTTCTTCCCCGCTCGGTGGGTTAGAGGGAAGGGAACGACATTCTTGATGAGGATGGCGAGCCAACATTCTGTTTACAGTGATTTCTGGTAAACAACCGCTAGTCTTCCAAACTATCGAATAAACTTACTGACTGTTATTCAATTTCTCTGGTAACTCGCAGGATCGACTAGATTGATCCTAGGACGTGTTGGTCATTAGGGTAACTCTCATGATCGAACTGGTATTCATGGTTGGTATTTAGAATGTTGTGTAGGTGTTTGACTTATTTCGATTTCTCTATTAAAGATCTAAAGGTATGATCAAATCAATGTGCGCGAAACTAAATTGCATGAATAAAGGTCAATTGTAAAGACATGTAAAAATTGCATAAAAGACAAGTAAATGACTTCGAAGTGTAGAAAAAAACAGTTAATGTAAAAGATGCTCTGGAATGTAAAAGATTCGAATTATGAAGAAAGCGTTTAAATGCAAGAAAACTGTAAAATGGCTTTAAGAAAAATAAAAGGGGTTCGAAGGATAAAAACTTGAAGATAAAGGCATGAAATGTATAACAGTTTCTGAAATGTAAAGTATTTGAAACGGAAAGAGAATATTTAAATGTAAGGCATCAGTAAAAGACTTCGAATGAAAACATTTTAAATGCAAAAACTTGTAAATGGTGTTGACATAAAGATAAAGGAAAGTACTGGAAATGATAAAGAGTTTTCATTAAATCATAAACATGTGGTGTTATCATACGTACATTGCTCTTGCATTCGTTTCCCTAGCCATGTGGTAATTTGAATGTTTACTGAGTGTTTTTGTACAATAGATATGACACACGAAATCCTAATGCTAAGACTTCTATTTATACTACTTCGACCATAACGGTCTTGCTATAAGATTCTGCCACGTTCAGAACATGCAGAGCAATGCCTCTCTCTTGCTTCCACGTGTCTTCGAATACTCCAGCGCATATATTTCAAGTTTCGAACATCCCGCTTGCATTTGAATTTCAAATGTTTTGGCACTTCTTCGCTTCGAACGCATTTCTTAGACACAACCTTGTTGTCATTTCGAGACTTCTTTGGATATATTCTCATAATTGTCACTCGAAGCTCCAAGCTTTGATATGCTCATTCGAAACACTGCTTCTGCTATTTCGAAACATGACGTTTTGTTTCATTTCAATCGAAACGTCCAATTTACTTTGCTTCTAATAATATTATCAAAATCTTCAGCCAACAAAATGCCCCTTTAAAATATGTATTTCGATCCCTTTGAGAAATACTTATTTTAAACATATACACAAGATTTTGATGCGACCTTCGAATCATCGTAACATTTATTGCATTTGACTCTGGTCACGTCAATCACAATGCTTTTCAGATTCCTTAACCGTCTTGAACCATTTCACAGTATAGTGCAGTTACAAAACAATGATTATCTTTAATCACGCCTATTACCAATGTTAACTTTACGCCACCTCTTCATCAAACCAACCCACGATTTCCACGTATCACAACCTTACTCAGTGGATGCTTGAACTTCCACATTATAAAAACCTATCAACTTAGTTTTTCCTTCTCTTCCCACATTCTGAATCTTTTCTCCTTCTTTTCTCACCGAAACCCTAAGCTTTCAACATTCTTCTAACAATGTCTTCTTCAATTTCATCTCAACTAAAAAAGGTTTCCAAAAAGAAAGGAAAGACGGCGGGAACTACAATGGAAAGCAAGGTTGTTACCTACCAAGGTCAATCTGTTCTTGTTCCCCAGATGATCTCAAAAGAGAAAGAAATGCTTTATGCATCCCAGGTACTTATTCCTACTACCGCTGCTTGCAAGAGGTTAGCTTTAATGGGCCCTCTTACAGTTTTTGAAATTTTAAAAGATACCAGAAATTTTTTCCCAGTTTGCTATAGTTTCAAACCCCTGTTTAATAAAATGGATAGCCCCAAACCTATAGAATCTTCTGACTCAACCACCGTAGAAAATCCAATTGTTCCTCCTAAGGACCCTTTTGTACTGGACTACGTAAAGAGTAACTTCAAACCGTTTCGATCTTGCCCCACCTCCGACACTGCTTATCATAACTGGTTCAATAAGGTAGAAGCTAAGAAATCCCAGCAATGGGAAAAATTAGGTATCTATAACTTGATTAAGCTGTCGAAGCCAGGTTTTACTTATAGCCACCCATTGTTATTCGCGTCCCTATATTTCTGGGACAGTACTTATAATACTTTCCATCTCCCTGGTGGAATGATTACCCCTACCTTCTTTGACATAGCGGCCATTACTGGGCTATCACCAGTAGGAGAAACATATATCCCTGACAACGAAGAACATTCGAGTATAATCGACTTCGAAGTCAAACTAGCAAGTTTTTCAAAGTTTATCAGCCACTACCATGCTGAAGGAGACAGTGTGTCTGATGTAGAACACATTGATTTCCTTACCTTATGGCTGTCAAGATATGTCTTTTGCAGCAGATCCCTACAGGTAGCCAGTAGGTTTATTCCTCTAGCTAGAGATTTGCATGAGAATCGGAGGGTGTGCTTAAGTGAACTGCTATTAGTTGATCTTTATGAAAGCCTAAGGTCAGCTGTTTCGAGTCTAAAATCTCATACCTCCAAGAATATCCTGCTAGCTGGCCTTTTTTGGTTACTTCAGTTATGGCTAAATGCCATGTTCGAACCCTCATTGTCAACTGCCCACACCATTGATGAACAAGACCCTGAAATAACGGATAGAATCGTTGAAGGCACTAGGCTGCAAAGACTAACCCCGAACGATGATAAGGATGACTTCAAAGTCCTATTCTCAAAATACATCATGATATTCTCCAAGAGGCATAAGTTCGAAGAGACCATGGCGCCTTTTGCTTCAAGGGCTCATGGACCTTCATGGTTCACCATGGCTCTCTCAGAAGCTGTCAAAAGCAAAGAGATTCAAGATGTATGGAGAGCCTTCTTGCTACCCAGACTAATCTCTTCAAGAATAACTCCTGCCAAGAATCAGATTTTCCTTTTCGCTTACCATCCAAATTTTGTTTCGAGACAGTTTGGCTTGTGCCAACTAATTCCTGAACCCTTATTTCAAACGGAAAGTGCCATTACCTCTGGGCGAACCTTCAAGGAACGGGAAGCCAAACTACAGCAAGAACAATACCAAGGCTTTGCCCAGTTTGAGCTAATAACTTTCGAACCTACCCACCTTACAGCAAAGGGGTTTCTGGAATGGTGGACAAAGTTCTATCAGACTTATATGTTCGATACTCTTACCATTCAGCAGAAACTAACTGATGCCTTCGATGTGCAGGTACCATCCAAGAAAGGTATGTTTACTCATGCCAAAGAGATTAAAGCTTTTCAAAATTATTTTGAAACTACTTATGATCCCACACACTTGGAATCCACTGTGCATCAAGCGGCTGAGACCTTGAAGGAAAAATTCAAAGAAAAAGTTTCTAAGTTAAAACTTCCTTCAGGGTTGTCACCTGAGGATAGGTATAGGTTGGCATTCGAAATGCATCCACCTAAATTTCCTAGATTACCTACCTCAGAACTGGCTCTGGCTTGGTTTCCTCCATACCCTTGGTGGTTCACTTGCAAAGAAATGTTCAAACATCTTCAAAAGAAACCAAAGCCATCTGAGACTGTGACATGGGCTCGACACTGGCTCCACGATTTCCCAGGACATCTTCGTTATGACCTTTCTGCCATGTCGATTAAATCTGATCAAGGCACAGGTGCGAATGCTTGGGAAAATCCCAAACGATTTTCATTTTCCATATCTTTAACTTTTGCCTTAATTGTTTTGCTTTTCAGCCATCAGGATAAAGACTGTTGCTTCAAAGTCGAAAGAAGGGAGCGCCTCTCAAGCCTCTATCGAAACCATTGACAATGTGACTCCATCCGAAACAACCATTGCTGCAACAACAACAACAACAACAACACCACCAATAATAACCAGTGTTCCAACTCCACAGGTAATCATTTAGCCTTGATGTTTCGAATTCACTAATGTTTGATGATTTGCATCTAACTCTTTGTTTAAATCTTTTCAGACCAACAAACTTCCGCCTACCACTCCAAAGAAGCGAAAATCAAACACCACTGGGGAAGACCCCAAGGCTGGAGGAAACTTACCAGCTGCTTCGAAGAAGAAGCAGAAGAAGGATATTTCAAAAAGTGTTGTACCAACTAGTGTCTCTGGACTCGATTCCAGGGATGCTGCTCCCTCACCTAAATCCAAAATTCCATCTTCGACCTCCAACGTAATGTTGTAACGCATAGCTAGCAACCTCTCTTCCGAGAGTCCACAGGTAAATTGAACTTCAAATCTTTTGAAAATAATTTCTCATTACCTTGGTGCATGCTTTTAATATTCTTTTGCTTCTTGCAGGATATTTTAAATCCAGCTTTTACCACTTCGACCTCACCATCAAAAGCTGCTGCTCCGATCAACTCCTCTCCTCAAGGAGACTCCAGCAACCTTGTACAGAACAAAGGTTCCTCCAATATGGCGGTTCTGGCTGGGGCTTCTGAGCAGCAAGATGATCAGAGTACTTCTCCTCCTCTAAAAGAAACAAATGAAGCAACGCTTCATGAATCTGCAGAGGCTTCACAAAGAACTTCTCTCCAAAAGTCCCCTCTCGAAACCCTTCAAGAGGACCCAAAGGACGCTCACGCTGAAGGAGAGAAAGCTGATTCTGGTCAAAGAAACGAAGAATCTGCAGAAGAAGAGTCTGAGGAGGAGGATGCCAACGATGGTTCGACTGCTGGGACAGAGTCCAATGCAAATAGCAGCGAAAAAGAAGACATCGAAGTGGTGGATTTGGATGACGATGAAGAAGATAATGAGCACGAAACGAATGAAGGGGATGGTGACACAACCAACAAACCCATGGTGGTCGAAATGGAAGTGACTCCCCTGCGTGTGGAACTCCCTCAATCGTCTTTGTCCCGAATGACTGACGAGGAGCTTGCTCTCCTGAGACGAAATGACCCTATTGGGTACATGAAGGCGAAGCTGGCTCAAAGGGACATTCCACTTGCTAGGGCTGGCACAAGTTCGACTAGCCATCCTCTGCCCACAGATGAAAGAATTGTACTTCTTAACAGGATCAGGAGAACAATTCTTAATGTGGATATATTCGAAGTGCTCAAACAGGATAGCACTGCTTGCTACACTATGAAGGAGTTGCTTACAAAAGTCAACCTTGCTACCTGCTCCTTGCCAGTTAGTACTATCTTGTTCGATCTTCAATCTTTGCTGGACAATGTGACTGGGTACCTTCTCCAAGATGAATCTGCTGCCAGAAAGGTTCAAGAAAAACGCACTGCAATGGATGCTGCTTATGAACAAGCTTTGAAACTCTCTCAAGAAGCTGAGGATCAAGCTATGCATCTAAAGCAAGCAAAAACTGATTATGAGGCTCGAGCTGAGTCCATCCTTCTCTGGGAAAGGCAAATTCAGGAACTTCAACAGAAGGTTAAAGAGGCTAAAGAACAACAAATAGCCTACGAAACCAATACTGCTGGTAACCAATTCGAAGAGCTTCTCAACCAGGGGCTTGCAGAAATGGAAACTGCAGAACAACTCAAGGGAGAAGTGGCAACCTTGGAGGGAGCCAGACGTTTTGCTCAACAGAGACTTGAATCTTTTCGAAGTACCTTCAACAGATTGAAGAATAATTCTTATTTCTAAATTTCAGTGTTCATTTGATTACAATTTGGTTTTTTATATGTAATATTTGAACAACGCCATCTTGGCATCCCATATTGCCATTTTGGCATTTTTATGATTATTTGATTACGTTGTTACTATTCGAATCTTCTGCAGGCGTGGCTTATATTTCTTTAAATACTTCCCATTAACCTTTAGGATACGTTTATCATCCGTCAGCTCTTCGATTTCATATGCATTGTTTGAGAATACCTTTATTATTCGAAAAGGCCCTTCCCAATGAGGTGACCATTTACCTAATGATTTATTTTTCTTGTCAATGGGTAATATGACTTTTCAGACTAAGTCATTAATAATGAATGCTTTCCTTTTCACCCTTTTGTTATATGTCCTGGCCACTCTTTCTTTTTGTCTCATCAAGATTTCCAATGCATGTAATCTAACTTCGTCCAATTCCACTAACTCATTCATCATCATCTCCCAATATAATGCAGCTGGAATTTCGTTTTGTCTTTGAATTCGAACTGATTGTAGATGAATTTCTACTGGAAGAACTGCATCATGACCAAATGTGAGTTGGAAAGGCGTGGTGTTAGTAGCTTCTTTAGGAGATGTTCTACAGGCCCATATTATTTGGTCCAAAGTTTTGTGCCAGTTCCTTGGTTTTTTTACCAATATGTTTCTTAATTAATCCTATTATCACTTTATTAGCTGCTTCGACTTGACCATTTGCTTGAGCATAATATGGCGTTGATGTTAGTAATCTAAACCCCATTTCTTGGGCAAATTCTTGCATCTTTCTACCTGTAAACACAGAGCCTTGGTCTGTGGTTATGCTCTCTGGCAATCCGAACCTATAGATAATGTGTTTCTGTATAAACTCAATAATAGCCTCTTGATCAGCAACTATTAATGGTATAGCTTCGATCCACTTGGTAAAATAATCTATTCCTACCAAGATATATTTCTGTCCTTTAGACGAAGCAGGATTTATTTCTCCTATTAAATCCAATGCCCATCCTCTAAATGGCCATGGTTTAATGATTGAATGCAACTCACTTGCAGGGGCATGTTGAATCCCTGCATGTTTCTGACATTCCTCACAACCTTTAGCAAAGTCTATACAATCTTTGAGCATGCTAGGCCAATACATGCCATATCGAAATAACAGCCATTTCATTTTATGACCTGCTTGATGTGCCCCACATGCCCCATTGTGGACTTCAGACAATGCTAAGTATGCCTCACTTTCTCCTAGACACTTCAACAATACGCCCTCATGGGTCTTTTTGAACAATTCGTTCCCCATGAGGACATATGATAATGCTCTGTATTTTGTCTTCCTATCAACATTCAGAGTTGGGTTTGCTAAATAACTCACCAGTGGACTTCGCCAATCTGCATCTGATAAAGTGTTTATGGCTAATATTTCGAATCCCTGTTTCTCAGCATATCCCAATTTCATACTTTCTAGATCTGATGGTGTGAATCTAGTAGCCATAACTCTACCCCTTAATTCAACTAAATCCTCAAAGTTCCTGGCAGAAACTTTATAACCCGAAGCCAACTGTGCTAAGTCATTTGCTTCTTGGTTCTCTATTTTTGGTATATGTTGAATATCCATGTATTCAAATTTCCTAAGTAACTTGTTGACTATGACGAAGTATATCATCAGGTTTTCCTTTATGCATTTATACTCCTTTGTTATTTGCTTGACCACTAATTCTGAGTCTCCTTTAATTTCGACTCTAGTTGCCCCCAATTCCAACAAAGCTTCAAGTCCAACAATGAGCGCTTCATACTCAGCTTCGTTGTTCGAACAACGAGGACCATCTAATTTATACTTGAATTTTGTTGGAATTCCTTCAGGAGAAATTAGAAGGACTCCAACACCACTTCCATTCCTGTGGGTTGAACCATCAAAGTATAATTTCCATGGTTGCATTTCGACGTAACTCATGACAGTCTGCTCAACCAATGAATGGTCCACAATAAAATCAGAAATCACTTGGCCTTTCACAGCTTTTAAAGGCATGAAAGTCAAAGAATATTCTGTTAAGGCTAAAGCCCATTTACCAACTCTGCTATGCATTATTGGTTTTGAAAGCATGTGTTTAATGACATCGAAATGAGATGAAACATAAACATCAACAGGCTTTATATAATACTTGAGTTTCATACAAGAGAAATACAAACAGAGACATAGCTTTTCTAAATTGCTATATCTGGTCTCTGCATCATTTAGTACTCTACTTAAATAGTATATGGCTCTTTCGATACCATTGCTATCTTCTTGTGCTAACATACTACCTATACTAACTTCAGAGGCAGATATGTACAATCTCATGGGCTTCCCCCATGAAGGTGGAGACAAGATAGGAGGCTGAGAGAGGTATCTTTTTATCCTGTCAAATGCCTCCTGATGGGCTTTGTTCCATTCGAAGGCTTGGCCTTGCTTTAGGCGAAGCAACAGAGAGAAAGCTTGGGTTCTTCCACTCAGATTCGAAATGAACCTTCTGAGGAAGTTAATCTTCCCTAGCAGAGATTGCAGCTCCCTTTTTGACGTAGGTGCTTTCGTCTCCATTATGGCTTTGGTTTTGTTCTGGTTGATCTCAATCCCTTTCTTGTGAACCACAAAACCAAGGAAATCTCCAGCCTGCACAAAAAATGCACATTTAAGGGGGTTCATCTTTAAGCCATGTTTTCTCATTCGTTCGAATGATTGGCTCAGATGATGCAAATGTGTTTCTGCAGATATAGATTTGATGACTATATCATCGATATACACCTGCATAAAGGTTTCAATGAAATCATGAAAAATCGAATTCATTGCCCTTTGATAAGTTGCCCCAGCGTTCTTTAAACCAAAAGGCATCACCACTTATTCGTAGGTGCCTAAGGCTCCTGGGCAACGAAATGCTGTCTTGGCAACATCTTCTTCAGCAATAAAAATCTGATTATACCCAGAGTATCCATCTAACATACTCAGGTATTCGAACCCTGCAGCAGAGTCTACTAGCATTTCTGCCACAAGCATGGAGTACTCATCCTTAGGGGTTACAGTGTTTAAATCCCTAAAATCTATGCAAATTCTTAAAGAACCATTTTTCTTAATAACAGGTACTATATTTGCTAACCATTCGACATACCTCGTGGTTCTGATGAATCTGCAACGCAGCAACCTTTCGATCTCAGCTTTAATCTTTGTGAGA